TCAAAGGTTGTGTTTCAGAGGACCATGAAAAGAAAGTACTAAGGGTAAGGTTTGGGGTCACAAAGATCCAGGTTGACTGAACCCTGGGCTCCGCCAAATACCAGTTAGGGGACCTCAGGCAACTTTCTTCACATTTCTCAGATTTTCTGTTTCATTTCTAAAACAGTGTCAATAATAGTGCAATACTCATTGTGAGAAATACAGCAGCATACGTAAAGTGCTTAAAAACAGTGCCTATCACTCACACACACACACATATCTATATAAACATATGGTAGCCATTTTTATTACTATGAGGGTAAGGGTGACGAGGACAATGTTTGACTTATTGTCTTGCACGGTAAATATTTTGTTTAAATGTACAATCTCTTCTTTAATTCCTAATAAAACTACATCTAAAGGTATTTAATAGTCGTCTGTTAAGATTCATGCTGGATCTGTCAAACTGAGATTCTTCTTAAGACAAGGTGAGTATGCATATAAAAAACTTAAGGAAAAGAAAGCAAAGAGAGCAGTTTTCTAAAATTCACATTGACTAATAAACAGTATTGCTTTGCATATCAAAAGACATGCATAACCAGAATAATCATAAAGGGAGATTTTAAAAGAAGGAAAATCTTCAGATGGTGTTTAAAAAATATATACATCTACATTGTTATTTCGTTAGCCTCTGTGTACAACATACTATGACTACTTTAATAAAGAAACACATTCCTTTACCATAACTTAAGCCCACCTTTTCTATTAAGGCCAGTACTCGGTCCTCTTTACTCTGCCCTTCAAAGCAACTGAAGTCAACAGGTACACAAATTGACATTCCTAAATACTGTAGGCTGATTTGTACTGGGGTTGTTTTGTTTTGTTTTATACGTTAGCCTTTTTTCAAGATCTTAATTGTAGCCTCCTTGGAGAAAAGCTGCCATTTCTTTCCTATTCTTCCTACCATCTCCATCACTGCAGCCCCTCCGCCCACCATCCTAGCACAGTCACTTAAATAATAAAGGCTCTGGCACAGGATCTTAAAAATTGTTGACTTAAATTCTGACCTTTAAAACCGGACAATGTGAGAAAAGAAAACTGAACCGAGCTGATTACCAAAACATCAAACACATGATGTTTACATTTCTTACAACGTGTAAGGATCCTTTCACTGAAAATTGAAGGATGAGATTAAAACGAGCTCCAGAAAAGAGCTGGACATTTGAGAGAAAAACAATGGAGATAATAAAACGGAACAAAAGGTTGACGTTGGGATGAAAAGATAACATTAAAAAAAATACTGGGAGAAGAAAGGAAGCTGCAAAATCAGTCATTGTTTTCTGAGTCCAGGTTCATCCAGTAGTTTCTTCTCTGAGATCAACCAATCCCCACCTTTCCTGAGTTAACCAGTCTCCAGGCAAAGAGCGCTTCTTGATTGGCTTAAAAATGTCGAGTAGAAAAACCGGCCAATCCTGCCTTCAAGTCAGAACTGCGCTATGGAGGCACTACAACCCCTGCAAGGCGAGAATGTGTACAAACCTGCCAGTGCCACAAATACCAAATCCTAGTTCTAAAGGCTGTTTCCGAAAGTAAGATTCTTTTCAAGTCAACACTGAGCGTGATCTGGCAGCTACACTTTATATTACTCCAGCAATCTTTCTGACGGGGGAAAAAAACTGTTTTAAGCAAAAGAACCGAAGGAACAAACCGTGTCCCCGGTCAGATGACTCATTCTATCGAAGACATATTTCCAAACGGGACACCTGGGCGAGGGTCCGCAAAGACGGCAGGATTCAAGGAGGGTCCCAGTGAGGATTAAAGTTGCGGGGGAGTATAGAACAGACAACCCACATTTAGAAAAATACAGTGTCCACCAAGAGTCTGGTGAGGTTTAGTGAAACTGGTACACCCAGAGCCAGTGCCCAGGCAATTGCTATATGGGAGCTCTTTGATCAAGTAATTCCCCTAATAGTCATGAAAATCTAGCTGGCTTAGATTAAAACAGTGCCTGTCATGGATGTGTGTCACACACACACACACACACACACACACACATACATAAATACATGGTAGCCATTTTTATTACTATAGCATAAGAGTGATGAGGACAATGTTTGACTTACTGTCTTGTATGGTAAATATTTTTTTAAATGTACAATCTCTTCTTTATTCTCTCATTCTCCCATGAAAATCAATGAAATGCTTTTTCAATTTTTGAAGTTATATGAGTTTGGACACCGCAAACTGATTAACCAAAATCTAGATGTACTAATAAAATAATTCATAGAGGACAATGCTGAGATTCTTCCATTAGCCTGCCAATCTAAACATATCTTAAATCTTTAGTACAATGGGTAGGAAGGTTAAAAGTAAATTCAACTAACCAAAACTGAGAGTATTATATAAGCAAACTAAATTATTCATTGTGATGTAGAGGAAAAATGTTCAGGACAAACCAATATACCTTATTTCATCAATCCTATGACATTTTTATTTCTGCATTAAGGATACATCCTAAAATCAACGACATGACACAGTTTACTTGGAGCACTTTTGTTTTTTGATTTTGTGAAAGTACATAAAATAATAGTCCATCTTACAATTGATAGGACAAATGGTAGATATTTGGAAATGTAATCAATTGATGTCAAAGGTTGTGTTTCAGAGGACCATGAAAAGAAAGTACTAAGGGTAAGGTTTGGGGTCACAAAGATCCAGGTTGACTGAACCCTGGGCTCCGCCAAATACCAGTTAGGGGACCTCAGGCAACTTTCTTCACATTTCTCAGATTTTCTGTTTCATTTCTAAAACAGTGTCAATAATAGTGCAATACTCATTGTGAGAAATACAGCAGCATACGTAAAGTGCTTAAAAACAGTGCCTATCACTCACACACACACACATATCTATATAAACATATGGTAGCCATTTTTATTACTATGAGGGTAAGGGTGACGAGGACAATGTTTGACTTATTGTCTTGCACGGTAAATATTTTGTTTAAATGTACAATCTCTTCTTTAATTCCTAATAAAACTACATCTAAAGGTATTTAATAGTCGTCTGTTAAGATTCATGCTGGATCTGTCAAACTGAGATTCTTCTTAAGACAAGGTGAGTATGCATATAAAAAACTTAAGGAAAAGAAAGCAAAGAGAGCAGTTTTCTAAAATTCACATTGACTAATAAACAGTATTGCTTTGCATATCAAAAGACATGCATAACCAGAATAATCATAAAGGGAGATTTTAAAAGAAGGAAAATCTTCAGATGGTGTTTAAAAAATATATACATCTACATTGTTATTTCGTTAGCCTCTGTGTACAACATACTATGACTACTTTAATAAAGAAACACATTCCTTTACCATAACTTAAGCCCACCTTTTCTATTAAGGCCAGTACTCGGTCCTCTTTACTCTGCCCTTCAAAGCAACTGAAGTCAACAGGTACACAAATTGACATTCCTAAATACTGTAGGCTGATTTGTACTGGGGTTGTTTTGTTTTGTTTTATACGTTAGCCTTTTTTCAAGATCTTAATTGTAGCCTCCTTGGAGAAAAGCTGCCATTTCTTTCCTATTCTTCCTACCATCTCCATCACTGCAGCCCCTCCGCCCACCATCCTAGCACAGTCACTTAAATAATAAAGGCTCTGGCACAGGATCTTAAAAATTGTTGACTTAAATTCTGACCTTTAAAACCGGACAATGTGAGAAAAGAAAACTGAACCGAGCTGATTACCAAAACATCAAACACATGATGTTTACATTTCTTACAACGTGTAAGGATCCTTTCACTGAAAATTGAAGGATGAGATTAAAACGAGCTCCAGAAAAGAGCTGGACATTTGAGAGAAAAACAATGGAGATAATAAAACGGAACAAAAGGTTGACGTTGGGATGAAAAGATAACATTAAAAAAAATACTGGGAGAAGAAAGGAAGCTGCAAAATCAGTCATTGTTTTCTGAGTCCAGGTTCATCCAGTAGTTTCTTCTCTGAGATCAACCAATCCCCACCTTTCCTGAGTTAACCAGTCTCCAGGCAAAGAGCGCTTCTTGATTGGCTTAAAAATGTCGAGTAGAAAAACCGGCCAATCCTGCCTTCAAGTCAGAACTGCGCTATGGAGGCACTACAACCCCTGCAAGGCGAGAATGTGTACAAACCTGCCAGTGCCACAAATACCAAATCCTAGTTCTAAAGGCTGTTTCCGAAAGTAAGATTCTTTTCAAGTCAACACTGAGCGTGATCTGGCAGCTACACTTTATATTACTCCAGCAATCTTTCTGACGGGGGAAAAAAACTGTTTTAAGCAAAAGAACCGAAGGAACAAACCGTGTCCCCGGTCAGATGACTCATTCTATCGAAGACATATTTCCAAACGGGACACCTGGGCGAGGGTCCGCAAAGACGGCAGGATTCAAGGAGGGTCCCAGTGAGGATTAAAGTTGCGGGGGAGTGCGGGGGTGGGGAGTCTATGAGAAACAAATACCTCTGACGGGGAATGTCTCCCTGCAGTATCCAAAATCGATACTTGTGGAGTGAGAGAATGCGTGGATTTGAAGGAGTAAATAAACGGCTCTGCTAGGACTACGTGCTCTAGGGAGGGTAGCCCAAAGTTCCAGGGCTGTGCCTGGGAAACGCTGAAGGTGCTCCAATGGGCACGAGGTCAACTCCCAGCGGAAATCTCCAGACAAGAAGCCCGGGGGGTCGAAAGGGGTGTGTCTGGGGCCTGGAGGCCCGCCAGGGACAGGAAGACCGGCGAAGCGGCCGCGGCCGCTGCCCCCGCCTTAGCCCGGCCTCGGGCGGTGCGCCAGGATCCGCCTCTCACCGACGCCTTACTTCCCTTCCGTCCGGGTGGCCCGGCCCGCGCCGGGCACCCACGTTCGAGGATTTGGTTTCGGTCGCAGATCCGCCCGCCACTGCCTCCGGCCCTCCGCTTTGCATCGGGATACCGGGATCCCTACCTTCCGAGACCCTCGACCCGGACCGGCCGCCCCGCCTCCCTCCCGCCGCCTTTACCTGCTCCGGGAGCGGGCGGAGGGCGTCGAGGCCGGGCCCGCGTCGTCGAGGGCGCGACGCGGGGCCGCGGGTACGCAGCCCTTTCCCGCCGCTGCGCTCTCCGGCGCGGCGCTGGGCTGGCAAGCAGCGGCGGCCGCCGGTGGGCGGGGGTGGGGGGGAACGCTCGGCGCGCGCCGGGCAGAGAAACACTGCCGCTCTCCGTCCGGCCAGGGAAGAGCAGACTTACAGCGGCCAGCCGCGATAGGGCGGGCGGGAGGCCGAATGGGGAGGGGTCTCGGGGAGATGGGAATGGCTGCCACGTCGTTCAGGTGGATCGCCGCTCTCCGCCTTCCCCGCACCCGCCGGCTCCCAGCAGCGACCTCTGGTTCGTCCCGGAGCTCCAGCGGAGCGTCGGCCCGCCCACGGGGCCGACCCTGCGACCCGGACCCCCGGACGCTCTCGCCCCTCCCTCTCCTTAGGATCGCCAGTCCCGGCGTGGCCGCTTCCGCGGCCCTGGGCCAGGTTCACACTCTCCAGAAAAAAGGCTCGCTTCAAATCCTGACGTGTTTCCCCCTTCCCTTGTCACAGGGTCACAAGGAAAAGCAAGTCCTTTTCACTGGGTCGGGTTTTCGGGGAAGATGGGAGCCGTTTTGGGCTGGTGAACGTAGCAATAAGGGGCTGGAAATTGCTGCCGAAATAAGCGGAGTGGTAAACCACAGCTGTTTCTAGCTCTCTTCACTCTCCCAGCCCTAAAAGCTAAACAGAAACACAAGGTTGCACTCGCTGGTCAAGACGCGGGAGGAAATGAGAGCCTGGGCGGGCCCGCCAGTGCGGGGGTCCCACCCGTAGGTTGGGAGGGACCGCAAGGCCAGCCAGCCGCCCTCAGCGTTGCCGGACTGAGCTGCTGACTGACGGCGGGGACGTGAACCCCGGCTCCGCGCGCACGGCGCAGCCCGCAGGTTTGCTAGCGCGCGGCCCGCGGCGCCTCTGCGCGCTCAGGCGGCGGACACACCGCGGCTGCTGGGGAGCCGGGAGACAAAGGGGCCCGCGGCTGCTGCGGCCGGGGTGAAAGTTGCCTAGTCTCAACCCGCGCGGCCAACGTGCCGACTCAACATGCTGGCGTAAGCGCAAAAACGAGTGCACGTTTGCAATGCAGTGCCGCAGGTACAGACCTTTGGTCCGGCTTAGACCAGATTTCAGGCGCCAAGACAAAGCAACAAGGTTTCCCTTTTGCTTTGACTGTTACTAGCCGGTTCCCCAAGCCTGCTCCATTTTTTTCCCTCCGAAACTCTGCTTTCCTTGGTGTGTTTCTTCTGTGTTCTGACGTGAAATAGGCAAAGTTTTCAGGTACACCAATTTTTTTTAATTTAAGGTGATGGTGGTGGTTTTCCTTAAATGTCTTTTCCTCATTTCCCCTTCATTTGCAATTATTTTTATTCTATCGCTGCTTTTTATAAATACCTTCCTGACACAGTATTCCTTTGCATTGAAGAGACAGACTGTTGATGTTGTTACAGTAATTGCTTTAAACTGAGTGGAAATTGGGGGGAAGTGCAAGTGGATTTTTGTCTTCATCTAGGTATAATTGGGACATCTACGCACACTCAATGAAAACATTTTAGTGTCTTTTTTTTGAACCAGAAATGTTTAACCAGATACCTGGGGATAAACTTTATTGAAACCAATCACATAGAGAAAATTACAAAAGAAAAAAAAGGGTTTTTTTCCGTGTGATTTTTGTATTTTTAGAGATCCGTCGAGTCTCGATATTTAAAAATAACAATACACCTTTATTGCTTTTGTAAAATTTCAAAACAGCAAAAATTTTAATGAAGGACCCAGAATGAAGTTATAAATAGCTATTACTGAGAACCTAACATTAACTCTGCCTCTGAACAGCCATTAAAGGAGACTAATAAGTGATACATGCCACTTTAGAAATGAAAGAACCCTAGTAATTATGAACTTCAAACAAATCCAGAAAATTAATTTTAATTTTGTTCATATGAAATATGTTCACCATGATAATAAAAATTGGCATTTAAATTCTTGGTTTTCCTTTGAACATTATTAAAGATTCATCACATCTTGTCTGAACAATGAGAAATGACACTGAAAAATACATTTCAAGCCACCAAGACCTAACCCTGGCCAAAAAATTTTGCCTACTACATCAATACTATAAAACTCTGAAACTCAGTCAAAGAACAAAGCAATTTTTACTCAACATTCACAATGCCAGCCTTCCTTTCTGAATATTTATAAAGATTTCCTTCTTCCTTATTGGTTTAAATTCTAAGCCAATAGAAAAAATACAACACATCTTTTAAAGGATGAGACGTCAACAGTAGATCAACACCCTGGATGAATGGGTTGTGTATCATGCCCATTCTCATTCAAGATCATGAATTTTTAATTTCAAAGAAGCTTTTTTGAAACGAGTATCTTAATGTACCTTAAATACCAAACTGCTACTCCAGATCACACTCCAAATCTTCTAACTGGTTGGGTTACAATATTTAATTCTCAAAAATGCCAGATTTCTCACAGAATGGCAAAATACCTACTACTTAACACTTTAAATAAGATGAACCCTGTCATTTCTTTAGGTGAAAGACTGGCCTTTAAGAAAATAATAAAGTTTATATGTCTTGGATGTTTTTGTCAATAAAATGACATAAATCTTTTATATTTGTCTAAATATATCATAAATCTTTATATCATAAATCTTTTATATTTGTCTAAAGCCATCTTTGATTCTTTGGTCTATTTAATGGCCAAATGCTAAACATGCTTGTTTACATTGATGTTTAGAACATAAGAAACATAAGTTTGGTTTCCTCCCAATCAAAAGTGATCTATGCCATCCTCATCTTCTGCATTCCTATACTTTGATTTTGACTTGAACTATCTTGCTTCATTATAATTATTTACTATTTATAATTTCCCTTAGTAGATCATCAGTTCCTTGAAGATAGGTTCTGTTTCCCATTCAGCACTGTATTCCTTACTGCCAAACTCAGTACCTTGTACAAAATAAACATTACATGGATATTTGCTGAGTAAAAGAATGAATGAACATCACTCCATAACACAGCATATGGCAAATCAAAAGAAAATCTGTCTGGGGATTTTTTTCCTCTATACATAGCAGATAAATACTTGTTTTCACTCCCAAATAAACTTAGAATAGCATTGTTGCAAGAATTTACCAAAAGAAAGTAGGACCAGCATATGCTGAACTCCTGTGTTTTTCATTTTAAATCTGGTGGAAACCGGATAGTGGGTAATAGTGCTGTTATCTAAAGTAAATAAGTATCAAAGGGCTTATATTTATAAAAGATTGCTTTACCACTCTCAACAGGAACTGCAAGCTCTGTGGCCTTAAAAAAAGTCACTTAAAGCCCTCTAAAACCCAGTTTTCTCATTTCTCAAATACATTCATTATATCTACTTTCTGATTATAAAATAATGAAAGCATGTAAAAGTAGAAGTTCAATAGACAGTAGTTAATACTTGCAGTTATTAGTGGACTCAATCATGAAGAAAAATAATTTGTGCAGTTATTTATAAAAGGTAGGCATAAAGTGCTATTTTTAAAAAATGAAGAAACATCCAGAGGGAAGAGATAGGATACTAAGGACATCTACTGAGACAAGATAGCTTTTAAGAATTGAAATTTGCTAACAGAATAGATCTTAAGTATTCTCAACACACACGTAAAGGTAACTGTGAGGTGATGGGTATCTTAATTGTGGTAGTCATTTCACAATGTATATCAAAACAGGTGTAAAGTTTAAGTACATACAGTTTTGTCAGTTATACCTCATTAAAGGTGGGGGATGGGAAATGAAGGGAAAAGAAACCAATCTACTCCTGAAAAACTAACAACAAAAAAATAAACAAAAAACATAAGCAAACTAAAACAAGAAAACAAAATTGAGAGTGATGGCATTCCAGCCTAAGTGAAAACCTGATGAAAAATCGAATCTGTCTCTCTCAGAAACTTCACAGCTCTCCACTGTTAGCTTTTCTCAAAATTGTAATAAGCATTATTTGAGAAGATGTGTAAATGAGGGATAATGAAATTTTACATTTCTTTTAAATTGAAGGCTTCTCATTGTACTCTGTGCTTCAACTTTGATTAAATTCTCAGAGCTTTTAATATGACAATGTACACTATAATCTCTAAGAGAGGGATATAGAATTAAATATTTCAAACTAACTTGACCAAAAATCCTTTATTCATGGAGAATATCTCAGGACATCTGCTCTTATATCATTCTTTGGGAGGAAACATTCATCTGTATGTTTGAAGATAAAATCCAAACCCCTCAGCCCATGCTTCCAAGTCCTGCCACTCCTACAGAAATAGACTTCAAATAGACCTCAAGTCTACATCCACTAAGGGATACTCTTGAGAAATTTATTTTGTTTTACCCAATTTCTCCATAAGTGAATGGGCAGACATGAAGCAGTCTGCAACCTGACAGGGACAGGAGGAAACAGGACTGGCAGAGTGTTAAAAAAACAAAAACAAAAAAACCAGCCTGAAAGAACTAGAACTGCAGAGTGGCGAGGATAGCTTCCTCATGCCTGGTGGAATCCTCCTGTGATTATGACAGCAACCACAGTCCTGTGTCTGTGAGGGATTTTTACAGGAAGCCATACTTAAGTATATTGTGGTAGTTCCAGCTATCTGTTACTGTAAGATTTTATATCATTTGCTGATAAGGAACCGTTACAACGTCTAACCGTATGTGTTGACATCTTTCTGTCAGTCACATTACTCTTCCATTTGTGACAATCCCAATTCCCAATACATCCAGTTCCGATGATGCTGAAACATTAGCCAACCTAGTCATTCTTTTTCACTTATTTGACTCTTTACAGACCAGCTGAAATGCCCTTTTCTCCTATAAAGTTTTCCCAGATGCCCCAAACATAATGAACTCTTTCTTACTAGGCCTCAAACAATTTGTATTTACTTCTCTTACTCAGTTGCCATGGTAACTGTTTGTTATGGTGTATCTTCACTAAACTTGTGAGGTCATATCCCCTAGACAAAGAGATGTGTCCCCAATGACAAGAAAATGTTCTTAGATATTGAAATATAGTAGATACCTTTTAGCATAGCTCATAATTTCCTTTTTAGT